GACAGAAAAAAAAAACATGGCAAGCGGAAGGCGAGCGCCGGCGGCAGCGCCGTAGGGAACAGGAACTCAACAAAGGCAAGTCTAGGAGCGAGTGCCAAGAAAGCCCGGGGCAAGGACTACCCGCTCTGGGCCGCACATCTGCTGAGGAGGACATGCGCGCACCGCAAGATCCCGAGGATGTCGAAGGAGGGGGACAAGGATGTCCTGGTGCAGGCCCCGCGATCTCACGACGGCAACATGAACCGGCCATCTCCGTACTATGAAGACCTCAATGCTATCACAGCCGATGAGATGCTGGTATTGTGTAGATTCGTCGTCGATGAGAGTCACAGCAGACGGCACAGAGTATTGAGTACAAGTATAGGTAGGTATGCTGCAGTTGAACGCAGTGTGCGTAAAGGTTACAAAACAAAATTTTGTTGGTAGTTGGAGGTAATCTCATTATACTTTGTAGTTCATATACTATATAAATATTACGTTTTCCGATGCACTCCAGAAAATATCACTTGAATTTGAAATATTTCACTACCGCTAGGCAAAAACCACCATATTTTGTTGGTACCACCATATTCCCGTCCTGCCAGAAAAATACCGCCATATTTGGCAGTACCGGGAACCGCCGAAGGCGGTACCCACCATACTTTACAGTACCGGGACCCGCCAAAGGTGGTACTGCTGGCAAACGAAGTACCGGGACCTGCCAAAAAGAGTATCACCAATTTGAAATACCGCCCCGCCTGTTTACGCCGAAAAAAATGGTACCGAGGTGTTTACCCTGGAAATTTGGCCCAATGTCCTGATCGAGCTTATATTTCGGACCCGAAGGAGCACAGCCGTGGTCCGGTTTAGCCGTCCTCTGTTTAGCGCGGTGTGCTCAATAGCGGTTATAACGGCTTGGTAAACCGGGACCACGACTGAATACATACGCATATTGTCATGATTTACTTCAGCGTCGAATGCCTGATAAATAATAGGCAAAGAGACAATTGCTGTTTAATTTCCGTTGGATATTTCAATATTGGGCGCCGTCAGGTATACTTTATCCATAAGGGGATCAGAATCCCAGTCCCGCCCTCGCCACCTTCAGTGAGCGTTGAGCCGACCTGACCAACGAATGATACACAACAACCTAGGTACCTCGAGCTCTCTTCCCTCACTTTTTTTACAACGTCGTTGCCAAGCGACCAAAACCCAACCCCGATGGCAAACACCGGGTGGGGGGGGGGCGTACTCTTATGTTTTGCATGCCTTAGCGGTTAGACCATTGACCACGTGTCCTCGAGAGGACGGACCAGACCATTGTTCCCGCAGGAACGATCACCGATGGCCAATCGTTTCTTTCTACTTTGCCAAAGGTGGCTCAAAAAATGTCTTCCCTAGTCTGTCTATTCTAACGATATCCCTTCCCGCCTTTTCGACCCACCTCCTATGCCCCAGTACAGCTACCGTCATTTCCTCTAATTCCATGCCTCAATCATCTCCCTGTACGTCCCATCTATTTTTCCAGCTCAGTCACGTACACTTCCCTCTCCCTCTTGCACCACGGACATTCCGCGACTANGGGGGGGGGGGGGGGGGCGTAGTATCCAGGTCATTGTCTGGGGCATACCAACACTCGGGTCTCTTGGTGTACGTCAAGCATGTTTTTGCTAAATATGTAGCGTGTCCGGTGGAAGGAAGCTACATCGGCAGCGTTGGGCAGTCAGTCAGTAGAGCAAGTCTTGATGCTGCCGCTGTGATATTGTGTGGCGCGACACAACCGTTCCGCTTGCATGGGGTGTACTACTGCCTATCACCATGCTTCACCCCCCCCGGGACCCACTGCATCATGCGTGACTTACTTCGCTCGAACAACTTGCGACAAGACGAACCCCTTGACTTTCTTCAGCGCAACCTTGCGCTTGTATTCGAGATACTGCTCGCCTTCGCCCCCCCGCCCCCCTCCCCCCTTCCCGAAATTTCCACGATTTCATTGGCCAACGCGACCGAAACCTTCCCGCCTCTCTCTATCTTCGCGGTGCCTGTCGCTTCAAGTCGTCCTATAGCTCAACGCCCCCCCCTCGTTTCACGTCTTGTCTGCCTACCCCCTCTCTGTTGTTGTTTGGACCCGGACGTGACGGCTACAGGTGGGTATCGAGAAGCTTCAGCGTCCATTCGTGGGGAAGACGTTTACGGGTCTCTCAAGTTCGAGAACGGCGTGCACAGGGTGAGACGAGAGAGCAGAGACTGAAGAGAGACAGGGGGAAGAGAGAGCAGAGAGCGAAGAGGGAGCGGGGGGGGGGGTATCCCTAACCCCGTTCTTCACGCCTTCTTTGTGTTGTTGTTGTTTTTGTTGTTGTTGTTAATATTGTTGTTGTCAGCGTTGATGTGGTTGGCCTTGTTGCTTCTACTGCGGGTGCCTCTACGGCTGCTTTTTCTGCGGAGGTTTCTGTCGGTGCTGATGTTGTTCTTGTTCTTGTTCTATTGCTGCTGTTATCGCATGCGTGTGCAGGTGCAAAGGGTGCCATCTAACTCGCCGCGTCTGCACACCAGTGCGGCATCGGTGGTGGTCATGATGGAGGCCGAGGAAGTGGATCTCAAGCTGGAACAGAGGTGACTAGACAGAGAGAAAGAGTTGGGGTGGG